GAAAAGCTCAAAACTCCATTTTATCCAGGAGATTTGGTGACCTGTAAGGGAGAGTGAGATAACAGTGCTGTATCCGAAAGACTCCCAGACAATCCAAGAGAGTTGGCATATGTACCCTTCCCCATTAGGCCCTCACTTGAAGGTCACTGAACGCCCGGAGATCTACAGGATGTGTGAAGTGAATTTTATGCATCAGGGATGCTGGATGCAGTGGTAACAAACCCCAGGGGGAATTTTTGGTTGGGGATGTGCTGCTGAGACCCTGGAACCCTTAGTCTATTCTAGACTTAGTTCAGCTGAATTTTGCCACCCTATACTAGACTTAACTACCAAAACCCCTCCCTATGCTACAGCTGTAGAGTCACTATTTTCCATCTAGCAACACTTTCTTTGCTATTAAACGAAGTTATGAGGAAATTTAAATTTTTAATTTTATGTTTTCAAGTGTCAATTCCNTAAAAAATTTAGGAACATCCCCCGCCCCCTCCACCCCCCCACTTCCAGAGGTGCCAGCCTTGGGAGATCTTAAATCTGGAGGCTCTTTTTATTGTACCCAAATGTCATCCCCCAGCAATCCCCTCCCCAACCCCGCCACCAAATTAAAATGTGGGAATGGCTTAGGACATTATATGAAGTCTTACATGAAATACATTCTATCAAATTGTAAAGAGAAAATAATCTTTATCAGTGACTAAATGAGAAATGCAAAAAGGTCCCTGGGACCGTACAACGAATACAAAAAATTAAATTTTGAGTAGAAAAAAATGGGCTAAATTTCAAACTTAAGCATAGAAAAGCTCAAAACTCCATTTTATCCAGGAGATTTGGTGACCTGTAAGGGAGAGTGAGATAACAGTGCTGTATCCGAAAGACTCCCAGACAATCCAAGAGAGTTGGCATATGTACCCTTCCCCATTAGGCCCTCACTTGAAGGTCACTGAACGCCCGGAGATCTACAGGATGTGTGAAGTGAATTTTATGCATCAGGGATGCTGGATGCAGTGGTAACAAACCCCAGGGGGAATTTTTGGTTGGGGATGTGCTGCTGAGACCCTGGAACCCTTAGTCTATTCTAGACTTAGTTCAGCTGAATTTTGCCACCCTATACTAGACTTAACTACCAAAACCCCTCCCTATGCTACAGCTGTAGAGTCACTATTTTCCATCTAGCAACACTTTCTTTGCTATTAAACGAAGTTATGAGGAAATTTAAATTTTTAATTTTATGTTTTCAAGTGTCAATTCCCAGTTTCCCTAACTGAAACTAAAATCTTCAACCAATTGACCAGTTCCCTGGAAAATTATACCCTATTCTAGACCCAAACTTTATGATTTCTATATCCAATCCCAGACTAAACTGCTTGGAAACCATACCCTTAACAGCAGCATATACCAATAAAGCCCATAAATAGCAATTACCTTCCCCGTGTAACAAACTCACAGTACAAGTTGATCAACTTACTCATTCCTGGAGCTGCCATTGTGATTCTGGAGATAACAACTTGAGTTATTCCTTTTACTGCTGCTTTCTTTGATTTCCCCACGGGATTTTTGTTCTCATCAAACAAAACTATACCATCTATAAGTTCTCTAAAGGAAGTAAAAGGAAAATATTATACTTCAGTGCTCAAAAACATAGATTAGATTTTGAATGACTGGGTTTCTTTTTTTCTATTTTTCTACGAAAGCAGCTGGGGTCAACTCCCGCAAGAATTCCCCAGCCCTCAATGAAAGCCCTGATAAAGACAAGAAAAAATTGAAGCCATAACGATACTCAATCCATTTGAAAAGTAACACATGAACCTGTTACAGCTGAGCTCACTTGATTTTACGGGTGATCAAAGAGGGAAGATAAAGGTGACACTATAAACTTTTTGGGAGATGTTATGGGTGAATCTTTATTTGCTGCGGCTGCTCTAAAATTTTATGACAACCCTCATAATGGCTTTTAGATATAATGACTGTAAAATCTTTTCACTCACTGTTGGCTCACCTTTGCCTTGTAAGAGGAATATTTACACAGTTGGCCGCAGCGACAGCAATGAAGGGCACCCACCGAGCAAGGAGAGGAGGGGCAGTCTAAAATAAATGCAATATAAAGTAAATACAACAAAATGAGTTTGTAAGCTGAACAACAAGTTCACTGGACTTGTTTTGGGAGAGTGTGAGCATTACAGGTCCTTCTGTAGCTGGGTCCTTCTTTTAGCTGGGCAAAGAGAAGAGTAAGAGACATGCAAGAACAGGGGGAGAAAGTAAGGAGCAAATGGCTAAAAGGTTTCTAGAAATGACTGCTTAAATAATGCAAGCTAGAGTGTAGCAAGGCTGCAAATAACAGTTATTGGTCAACAGACAAGTAATTATATTCCATTAAAATTGCCATGTCCAACAAAATCATATCCATGAAGAGCACATGGATCAAATCGATACTTACTAGCCTATTAGGTCTTGTAGGGGAAGTAAGTAATAATAAAAATGTCAGCATTAGGATATCACCTCAACTTGGTCTCATGCAGACTGCAAGCAGTCTCTTATTTAACCCTTTAAGTCCCAATGGTGACCAACATCAATTTTCTCCTAACAATATGCATACGTTGTGAAGAGAATAGAGAGGAGAAGTGTTACGTCAAGTTAGCATGGTGGTCAAATTTCTGGATGACAACAATAGGGCCGAGATTAAGCAACGACGATGGCAACAGTAACGAGAACGGCAAAAAAACCTTGATAGCAAAACAACTTTGCACGTGCATCACGCTTTTTTTGTACATATCTTAGCTGTCTCTGCACAACTGCGACAAGAAACTTCCTAACGCACCCGCTTTATGGAGTGGGTGAACACAGCACAAAAAGTTTCTTTTTCTTTTTCTAAACTAAGATACCATCCTTTCGGATTAAATCCAGAAAATTTCACCAACATTTGACAAATCAAATGAAACTGAATAAGTTTGATGAACTTTGAAACAGTGCAAATTTACTTTTAAAGAGAATTTTGGTTTGTTGTCATACAAAAATGTTGCCACCATGACAACGTGACATAACGACTTCTCCTCTTTATTGGTTACGAGAATATTAATCAAATGATCCCTGACAAGAAAATGCTCTGAACTTTTTTCAAACTCTCTCAACTCATCTCTAACGAAATATTTAAATATCAGTGTGGAGGATTTGTATGTGGATATTGGGGCTTAAAGGGTTAACGTTAGTGGGATGTTACAGAATGCGTGTGTATGGCTTGCAGGGAAGCCACGAGATGCAAGACAGGAGGGTCATTACTAAGAGACTGAGTTGGCAGTACAGTTCCGCCTAGGTTTGCAAGGAATAATAAAATATGAGTGTTTTTACTATACACTGTACTGTAGTTACCTTCACGAGACTGTTAAGACCAACTGAAACAGCCACAGCACTGGTGGTTGCTGATACATAAGCAATGCCAATTTGTCTGGAGAAAAGTAAATTTTAGACCATTACTTTCAGTGCATATCTTGGGGGGAAAATGCCAGATTTCACATTTACTTCATATGTACTTTGTAAAATATCAAAAAAGGGCGAATGCATCACAAAAAAATACACATTTAAGAAGTCTTGGTTGTTGCACTTAAAAACTGAATCCACCATCAACTCATAACTCCAAGCCGTTAACCCTTGGGCACTGCTGTTCCAATTAACCTTGGGCTGTGCTCTAGCAGTGCCCAGTGGCCCCTGGCATCAAACTTTTGCTCTTGGACAACTAGAAAATCTTACTTTTTTCATACATGTTTTACAGGTTTAGGGCACTGGGCTCCCTTCAATTTTCCTTAGAGCGCAGCGTTGAGTTAACCTGTCAGCTGACCGTTACTGTGAGCACTAGAATTTTAAGTAATTGCTTGACACTTACTTTCCAGTTATTGTTGATTTAGCATTTCTGTTGGTGTAGTTGACTAATGCATTGAATGATTGATTTATCCACTGCCAAAATACTACTGCAGGAACAGTCCTGTTAAAAAGTGGTGGTTTATTGTTAAGTATGCAACTAAACAGTTAATTCAGATGAACGCATGTCCATCTCAGTCGACCGTAAATTATGTTCATGGTAATTACATAAAGTTGAGGTTTACGTTGCAAATAATATTTTCCTTTGTTGTTGGTAATGTAAAGGGCGTGAGTTTCAAAACGTCTTTTGCCTATTAGTGCATGACATTCAACTGACTTCTCCTCCTAAAAAAATGATGAAGTGATTAATTTCAAAGTTGTGACATTTGAAATGGCAACAGATTTTACACAGAAAAACAAGTTAATTATTGATGTTGAGTTTCAGCAGACCTCCAAAATGGCTTTAATACAGACCTGTACCACTGAAGCATTGCTCCTGTTATTGCCATCCCTCCTGGGACCTGGAAAGACATGCGGCCCAAGAAATTCATCCGCTCACCAGTGTCTGGGTGGAATGCAGAGTCCACTAGATGCTTTGCATGCCACAGATCATCAATGGATAAATTGGATACTTTACCCTGTCTGACCAGAAATCAGGAATGAATTCATGGTCAGTGAAAAAAAATCTTATCAGCAGCAGTTAGTAGCCTTCAATAAGGCCTCTAAAGGGTGGTTAAAGGAGGCTTTTTACAGGACAGGGTCACTAGCCCCGAGGCTAACACCACACCTAGAGGCTGTGGGGATCACACTACTACTGGCCTATGCAGTAGTCCCTCAAAGTTTCTTGCCTAAGGAAACAATTCAATGTGGGGGAGCTTGAACTGGACCTACAGAGAACAACATGCATGCTTAACTACAGCTGTAATCCAGCAAATTTGATTTTCCCCACCGTCGGTTAGTATGCATACTTTTGAAACTTACTCATAAGCTTCAACAACTTCTTTTGCCTCATCAAGTTCTGCATTAGTGTGAATAGCTTTCCTCCAGTCTGTTATGGCAAGAAAATGTCTGAATCTTCCCCAGAAGGTGGACTGATCCCATCTTGGAATATTTAAGTTGATTTGACCTGGTAATGCCAGCTCTACTCCTTCCATTCTTGGGTTTTCCCTGACAAAAAGGATGATAATGAAAAAATTTTGGAATGAGAGTCCGCTCTCTGTAAAACATAAGTTAAAGACACAGATACACTGAGAAGCATACCTTATTCTAGGAAATTAACAATGCACGTTGACAACGTGAAAAAAAAATTACATTACAATATATTAACAGGAATTTTTCAAAAGTTAGGCTTACATGCAAAAATTAAAACAAATTTTTTGATGATCATCTTACTTTATTCAACACAAATTTGCTACACTTACAAAATCTCAACATACGTATATCTCAAGGAGAAAAAGAAGCATTTACAGTCATTGTAAGCTATGTTAATGTTCAGGTTATTGCTCTGTAAATGGATCTAGCGAGGAAACATGAATCAAAAGACACTTTGAACTCGACTTTAAAAGAAGAAGTCTTGCCAGAGGAGTCAATCGAGGAGTCATGAACTAATGAGGTTTTGTAACGAAATAAAGGTGCTTTAAAATAACATATTGTAAAATAGCATGCATTGAATTTACATCGATGTTAATTAACACAAATTTTTAAAAATTGCATTCATATTTGTTAATTTTCTTAGGATAAGGTATGTTGTGGTTCAATTTATCCTTGGATTAAATTTTATTTTCCTTTGTTTCAAACTCATTATCCTTCATCACCGTACCCCAAAACAAAGGAAAATAGAATTTTTAAAACACATACATTATGCACCTACCATAGGAAAATTTTCTAAGAATGAGATCTTACTAATGAAAGGTTAATGGCACATTGACTCATGAAGTGTGTTGGCTTTAACTAACCAAAATATACTTCTTGTATAAATATTCCCTGCCTTATCAATGTTTGAATACCCCAAAAAATCCCCACTTAAATTAAGCTACCAAAAAAAATCCCGGAACAAACAATTTCAAACCCGAAACATCCTTAGATCATCCCTGTCACTTGAAATCCAGATTGCCCCCTCACCCCCTCCTGGGAAAATGAACATGTCTTTTTAAATTTCACAAGAAACCAATTCCCTGTGATGGATATGTTTTTTGCTACTTCCGTGACACCTAACCCCCAGTCTGGCTAATAATTCTCAGATGGTCCAAGGCTACACACTCAAACACTCAAATTATCTCATGCAGAAGTCCTGGGAGGGGTACTCCCTTATATATGCTACACAGGCGTGTGCCGCCCATCGGGTAGACTTTTTGTGCCATTTTGGTCTGCAACATGTATAGATTTTGCCCATTTAGGTCTGAAATCAGGTACAGTTTTTGAGGGAACCACGGGATCGATGACCGTATTTATCATTTCAGTTCCAAATGAGTAAGAAAGAAAGAGAAGTATGTGAATTTGAAATGGTGTTAAGAATTTTTTCATTTGCACACTAACCTAAGTAATGATGACATAATTTCTGCCTAAGGGCCAGGCTGAAAACAGGTATGGATTTTAGAGGTCCGGTCTCAAAACAGATGTGGAAAATGACATTTTTTGGTCTGAAATACATGTTGGGTCAGGATTTGGGGATCCAGGTGGCACACCCCCCACCAACAATTCCCAGGAGTACCCCTGCTGGGGCAGAATTTCAGAGTGGGTGAGTATAACATTCAAAATGTTGTCAGTCAGTGTAAAATGGAGTACATGAGCACAAAATGAAGCACCAGGTACTCGCATGGTCTCAGCGTCTCATCAATAAACCATTTTAACCAGTAATTCTAGGTACAAGTACACTCAAGTACCAGGCATGAATGTGAAGATGTACATGTGCTTAACCATACGATTAAGCTTCCATACATTCAATCATGTAAAACAATCAAAAGTTGGACAGACGTGATCAAGATTGGGAAGTAAGGCAATTGAAGCAATTGTAAAACTAAAGAACATCATTTTAAAATTAACTAAGCTTAGAAACATGTAAATTACAATTCACAGGAAACAAAGCTTTAAATTTGGAATTCGAAGAGAATGCCCACACGTTGTTCTGATCAGAAACTTTTAAAATCACCTATTGATGTTCTTTGTTAAGTTAGGTGACAAGATTTCTGATCAGAGGCTTCGAAGTCTTTCATGCTTAAGAAGTAAAAGACCATTACCTGCGATGTGACCGGAGGAAACAAGACTACAAACCAGTCAGTCTCTATTCCACCTACTTGTAAATTTACCGCTCTTATCACAGGCTCATAATCATGCAGTGATCAGCAGTCTCATAAAAAATGGAAAAGTAGGTCATGTATCAGTCACAACGCGTAGCCGATGAACCTTCTTTTGAGGTAGGGGGCGGCTGTACACAGGCTACTTCACCAGTCGCTATTTATGTGTTTTGGGGGGAGAGAGAAGATTGGGGGTTAGGTTGAGGCGTGCGCGGGGTCTCATGGGAAGGGAAGAAGGAAATTTTTTTCTTTTTTTGCTCAAGTTGAGCAAACCTCTCTCACACGGCGAAATATTGTACATGTGTAAGAACAACCTCTGGGCCCAGCGCTAACCCGTGGTTGAATTTTAATCCGTTTTTTTTCCTTTATTCAAGAACATTTTCTCGGATAATTTTATCTATTCCTTTTATAACAGGCATTCAGAGGCCGGGTTCGGACGCCGAACTTTTCATGAGCCGAACCTAATTCGAATTAAGGCCCCGGATTAAGGCCGACCCAAATTATTTAGACCGGCTGAATTGATTCAGACGCCGATCTTAATTCCAGCCGAACTTAATTCAAAAGGAGAAAATGTCCATTTCGATCAAACTGCTAAGAAAATACGTTATAATAATTTATGCATTAGGTTCGGTACATGAAAAGTTCGGCATCTGGATCAAGGCCGTTCCAAAGTCACCCAAGGCGACATTCCCGGCCGGGCCAAGCGGAAAGAACGGCTGAGCCGTTCCAAATTGAAACAGGCGTTCCTAACTGATACAGACGCGGAACTTTTCATGTACTTAATTCAATGTATTAGGCTCGGCTCATGAAAAGTACGGTGTCTGAACCGCGCCTCAGTTACCAAATTGTCGACAAAAGATAGACTTGCTACAAGTCGACCTCTTGGCGCGCCATATGAAATCCGACGAAGGACTTTTTTTGAAAGTCTAACAAAAAGAACTTAACTGAATTTTTTTTTCAAGCTTTTATAACTGAATTCAGATTTCGCTTTAACCCAGGGTTAACCTAACCCCGCTTTGAACAACCCGGCCCTAGGCTCTAGAGGTTCGAGAGAAGGCAGTATAGTTGTTTTTCACAGTGACGTCATCAAATTGTACAGTCAAAATCCCTCAGCGAGGTTTTACGAATTCTTGTTTACACTGGGTTGAAGATAAACAAAAAGGAATCTTTGTACAAGTTTCTGGCGTAGCATGTTTCTTTCGAAAATACAGCAATTTGAACTTCCGAGTGCGTGACACCAAAATAGGAATGCTATCTCGTTGAAAAAAGGCTCTAATCTTGATTTTTAGCAGTATAACCATTTCAAGTTTTAGAAGATATGTTTATGCGTACGTGTGCTAGTTCTCGAATAAAAGAAAGAGCTTTTACAGAAAAAGTGAAGTCCAGATGTTTTTGCTGATTTCCGGCGGCCATATTGGTGCACCAAAACGGTACACCAATATGGCGTTTCCATACAAAGCTCTGCAAAGGTGCGTGAAACATTTCGGCATATAACTCAAAAGTTGTGGGCCACAAAGACCTTGTAACCTTTCAGAAGGTATTCTGCTTGTAACCTTGTAACCCCCTGTAACCCCTTGTAACCCCGCTTTTCAAAGTACCTGCCAGAAGACGGGTGCAGTCACCGGGACTGCAATCACTGCATCGTGCGCCTTTGGCGCTTTGGTACCCTGCGAGCTTTGGTTCATCGCGTTTTGAAAGATGGAAATTTTTATATTCCCGCGTAAAAGAAGACCGATAAAACGTGTCTTTCATGAGGGTCTCAATGGGGTTAACCGATAGGCGTAAAACGGCCAAAAATTTAGTCGATAGCCGTAAAAATTGAAAAATTTTAACCGTTAGCCGTAAATAGGGTAAAAGAGAGTTAACCGTAAAAGAAATTGTTTCCTAGATTTGTTAAGGTGCTACTTTGACTCCGTACGCACGTTAGGCCAAGAGCTTTTTAGTTGTGACCTAGACCTAGACTCCATTTCCGCCGCTCTCCCTGGGAACTAATTTTTTTCCATAGCGAAACTCTGGCCTCTTGCTGGTGATTAAAATTTGAGATTTTCAGGAGGTCGTGCCCTCGAAGTCACAGTACTAGAGAAACAACACCCAGAGAGGACCAGAGATATCACGGTTTGTAAAACACGTTGCCGATAAACAACAATCCCTGTTTTTGACTGACGCTACGGTAGACATTGTAGCCTGTTCCCCAGTTTCCTCCCGTTTTATTTCGTGTTTGCGCTTTCTCAATTCAGCGGACTCTACTATCTCGGAGAGTGGAACAGGCTATAGACATTGCCATGCCTAGTCCCTGTTCGGCGTCTTCCCACGCAATCTCGCCCAAAGCATTTCGGTGGCGTATCTGAGAAAAAAACTCGCTCCGACCAGGTGACTCGAAACGCATTGCCGCGAGAAATAACGAGGAGTACGGACAAGGCAACAAAAGACAATGGTTCTGTAAAGTCCTTCGCTATCATTAAAAACACTGGACACAGGAATTTTTTATTGGCAGTTTTCAAACTAGAGCTAGAAATAGATTATCCGTCTGAGACTAGCCTGTGTACAGTCACCCCCTCCCCCACAGACACCCCTTCTCCGATTTTTTCCGAGGGCAGGGGGCGGCTGTACACAGGCTATCTGAAACGGATAATCCATCTTCAAACTGTCCGTCAAAATTGACGGATAAAGTCAGGTGGATTATTTATTAAAAATTAAAACCATTCCACTTTCAAACTAAGACGTATTACTTATCTGAGGCGAATTAACAAACGGATAACCCATCTCTCACGAATAATCCGTCTCTAGTGTGAAAAAGGCCATTTCTGTCAAAAAAAGGAATGATCCCCCCGCCCCCGCCTCGAGTTGGGGGTTCGCGTGTC